AAAAATGATTAATCAACCTCTCATAATTACAAAAAAATGAACAAAATGAAAAATTATGATTGGTTGAATGCGGTTTGTACGGTTTGTACAAATTGAGTGGTTTGCATTTGATCGCTCCCCTATATATATATATATATATATATATATATATAGAGAGAGAGAGAGAGGAACGATCAAATGCAAACTATTCAATTTGTATAAACTGTATAAACCATCCTCATCCGTTGATTTATTGTTTAATCTTGTGAATTTTTTTCATAAAATTGTTTAATCTTGTGAAATTGTTTCATATAATATATTTTTTGATGAAGTTGTTCCATATATGATTATGAAATTGTTTCATATAATACTTAATGAAAATTTAATGAAATTATTTCATGCATTTTTCTAAAATTAAAATAATGAAGATGATAATATTCATGATTAACACCGTCTACAATGAAAATGATTAATCAACCTTTCATAATTACAAAAAAATGAATAAAATGAAAAATTATGCTTGATTGAATGAGGTTTGTACGGTTTATACAAATAATGTGGTTTGCAAAGTAAACATCCTATATATATCTATAATATATTATAAATCATTTGACAAAAGCTCTTGAAAACCATTTCTTATGCATAAAGTATTGTTTCTTGATGCATATTACTTAAAATTCAAGATTACAAGTGATTTTGCGTATGTACAACTTATTAAAGCTCCATTTTTAAAATTCGTGTAATTAACTGCAGATAAGCATAATCAAATACAGAATAAACAACTATTTTAAATATAGAATATCTAAAATATAATTAAGATATTCATTGAGTATCTAACAGAATATTTAATTATTATCTTTAATAAAAATTATATTATTAAACCAAAAATAAATAACTTCGTTATTAGACCTAAATTAAATTATAATAAATAAAGAATTTACAAAAAAAATACAAGAACTATTAAATAGTTAATTTAATATTAATATCGATTTTGTTTTTTTTTTCAATTTTTTTATGTTATCTTCAAATTCATATTTCATTCAAAAATGAAAACATTATTAATTTCTCAAAACCACATAAAATTACATTATATCAATAGAGAGAAAGAATAAAAATTAAACATTAAAATTAAGATTTATCTTATTATATTATACAAGTACTCTTATAATATATATATATATATATATATATATATATCTATACTATATTATAATGCATTTGGCTAAAACTCTTAAAAACTCTTAAACTCTTAAAACTCTTAAACCCGTTCATCCCTATCCGATTTCATCTCATAACTGAATTCGTGTAACTAACTGCAGATAAATACAATCAAATACAGGAT